AACAGTCACGTAGTTGTGGGCTGTTAGAAAAAAGCTGAAATGGGTTGATGCTGTATGAAGTAGCAGAATCAAAATGTTCACTGCCTTCTACATCATCCATGAAGAAAAGTGATGTGGAAAGCAGCGTATATAACACCGTAGTAGCAGCAGTATTAATTTAGCAAGAAAAGTATCTGTTTTTGCCTTTTATAGTCCCTCTCCAGCTATTGATTACACCCCTAAAACTCATCCCTATGTATCAAGATTACATTTTCTCCCCATGAAAATAATCCCCTCCTGCCTCAAAATGGCTCCAGTGTAACATTATGCCGTCGGTTCCTCAGGAAAGCATCTAACTCCATTCCCCCAAACATTAAAGCATAACTTTCGCCTTCCAAGAATTAAAAGGAAGCAGCCCAAAAGGATTGTTAGATTCTGCTTTGTCACATTTAACATCATTCTGGGTTGCATGCTCAGAGTTTTCATTTGATGAAGAAAGTCATTCTCTCTTCTTTTGCTGGTCACCAGACCCTTTGATTCCATCACCTTCAGTCATGTGTTCTTCTACCTCCGATTCCACCACCTGTTGTTCATTGTCCTTTTACCTCCTGTCATTTGGATTAGCAACTGTATGCTAACTAACCACTATTCACTTCTGTATTTGCATACAGGCCCTCCCTACCCTCTGATTTACCTTTTAAAATGTGTGACACTGCAAATGTTCTGGGTCGCTTTACCATCACAGATTCATGTTCTGTGTTGGTGAGCCCACCGTATACCGGAATATTAATGAACGCCCCACAACCGCAAACTTCACATGAGGACTATGAGTAACACATTTAACCCTTTGAGCAAACGTTAATTTTAGATCGCTAGCAAACATCCAACAAAGCATGCAAGACAAGCAGGCTTGACAGTCAGTTGGAAATCGAAACATCAGTTGATCGGGTCGCTTGAACATCATACGTAACATAACTGTGATAGTCTTTGCCACAAAAAAAAAGCCAAATTTGTGACAAGACCCTGACTTTGGATGACAATTGCTCAAGAAGTATTTAAGGTACAGATTTGAAATTTGAGAAGACGTTTCCCCTATACTAGAGGTGTTTAAATCCAACATTGCAGGTACCTCAGTGCAAATGCTGAGACTCTATGGCTTGTTCAATGTATGGAAATATCAACCCCCAAGACCATTTTTGTACACCCATAAAACATACAGGATTTACAACAGACATCTGAAATTGTTGTGTTAAACAGTCCAAAATGAGATGTTTCAATCGACCTAATTTCATGATACAGCCTCTGAGATATTAACCTTCCCTGTGTCGTCCGGTTTGTGGCAGCTTTCATTCATCTACTTCATTCCCCCAAACATTAATGTATAACCTTCGCCTCGCTTGTCCAAGAATTAAAGTGAAGCAGCCCAACAGGATTGTCAGATTTGGCTTTGTCACATAATATGGGGTTGCATGGGCAAACATTTGTTCAGCAACCGTTGTTTACTTCTGCCTGAAATCGAGAAACCGTTCAAGAACAGAAGGCTTGACAATCAATTGGAAATCGAAACCTCAATTGATTGGATCACTTAAACTCTATGCAAAACTATTACTTTGGCAGGTTCCAGAAAGAAAGTACTTAATTATTTCTTTTGAAGCTAAGAACTTGTCACTTGAACATTTATTGCTTGACTCTAACTCGTGACCTTTTCCGTCAATCACAAGATAGTGAGCTGCCGTGCCCTGCTTATCTATAAAAGTCTTTATTTTGGCAGGAAGTGAGCACAGGGAGTTGCAGTTGTTGTTGTTAAATTCTATTCGTTTAAGGCTGCTTGCTTTGTCGGACATACTTGTGTTTCCAGTTACGTGACAGCTCGTATGTTTTATCACAAAGGCTGTAATATTTTGACCATTCTTTTTCAACTTTAATCCACCATTTCACTCAAAGAATGGCAGATAAATTCTTATATAATGTAAATATTCAGTTTGGACACCAATCTCGCAACTGACACCTCCTCCGCCAACACAACCGGTACTGTTCATGGTATCTATCTTCGAGATCCAAATGGACATTTTTTTTTGCGCGGACGTAAACGAGTATACCGAAGGCGTTTGTGGGTTTTTAGAGTAGGCCGTCCTACAGACCGTGCCACATGCCATCATCTGATTCCGCTTGTTCTCTGCATCTGTTCCCACTGCGAATGCCAAGGGAGCGAGGAGTCCAACATGGAAATGGCTTTGAAGCGTCATTGCCGAGAGCGTAGAAACGTCGTTTTCCTGCTCATCGGAGCTCACAGTCATTTGGCTCGTCCCTCGCTCGCTCTGCGTCTTCCCCCCTCGAGGCTTTAGGTGCATGTGAATTATGACACATGGAGTAAAGATCAGCTGGTCATGTAATAGAGGGTTTACAGTGGGGTTTTTTTTTCTTCTTTGTTCCCATTGTCCTGAAATATGACTGACGGAGAGCATCGAGAACCGAGGCAGGAAGTGGCCCTGATTATTTCCGATGGTATTGAATCTGCTGTCACTCAAAAGCATGTGCGTAGATGCCGAGGGGAAGAGCGAGGACTCACTGGAGCTTACAGCAGATACGCCACGGGAAGTGGGAGATAATAGTGGGATGAAAAGGCTACAGTTTGATTTGATGATGCCTAATTATGCAGCCACTGTGCTGAGTGTTCTTGTTTCTGACTAAAAAGAATGTAGAGAGATTCTGGATATTGGCGAAGTGGATGAAACATGATAATGAAGGCAGCGATTGCGACGGTAACAACCTTAACTTATAGCTCAAAAAGCACACGTTAATCAAATTTTACAGTCTACAAATCCACACACCTCCCTCTTAATTAATGTGTTCGTTTTCTTTTCTTTTAAAACAGCCCCGTCTGTTCGGTATAAAAAGCAAATCTGCTCATTTTCTTAATACCACTGATTACTGAGAAATTTGGCCAAATCTGTGTGTTTTTACATAACAGTGTGTCATTCAAACATTTGCTGAGCAGTAGCAGAACAAATCTGCTTTTTTTTCACCCAAAATAAAACGTAGAAGAGCAGAGAGTGGGCTCGTGATCGAATAGACACACACAAAAAAAGACATTCTGTGTCTTATTCTAAACACTTTTGTTAACCTCCATGGAAAACATGATGAGGCGTAGGAAAGATGTGAAGGATCTTTGATGAGAACACGCCAACAGAATCCCACTTCACTTACTACGTAACCACGTGATGAGGGATGTTCTGGCTCGGTCTTTGAGTCGGCTTGTGAACTCGGTTCGCCCTGAATTGATGACCAGCGATTGAAGCGCATTGCATGCTGGTTAGATTTCTGTCCGACTTACTCAGACATCACGAAGCGACACTAACATCACCATTGTCTACCTAAGAGCTTTTAACACCGCCTCCTGCTGTTGCCGCCTGGTCTTACCCGCCTTCCAGACGAGACGCCATTCACCTCGAACAAAGGTGAAGGTCATCGCAAACAATGTTGGGATTGTCCTTTCCTTTGGTAGGATTGAATGGTGTATCTTATGCTAAAGGAGATAAGAAAGGAACTGCTTAATGCTGTTTCTGGTCATTTAGAGAATTTGAAAAAAAGGCCTGTGTCTTACTTCATTCTCCTCTGTTTTAGGCCACATTAGGTTCAGCTTTATTTTTATTCTGTGTTGACTCAGCCAAGGTGGCAAGACTATTGACTGAGGAAAAAACACCCCAAAAATGTAGCATTGCTTTGCAAAGAAGTTGAACCTGGTTTGTTTTTTTTGCTGCAAAGTGTCATCCAGCAAGCACATTTCTACTTTTTACCCGGCAATCGTTGTGATGAAAGACAAAATGCAGATGACAGGGGAAAGATTAAAGGGACTTTTGGCGTGCTGGATTCTGGTATGTCTCTACCTAGCTCCATAGCCAGGCACTTGAACGTCCACGACGCCACCATTTCTCTTCTAATAAATAACTTCAGACAGCATGACACGACAGATAATCTGTCACATGATACTTTGGATGGACGTGTTTGACAACGTGATCCAGTCCATCGACTTTGCGGAGTTGAGGAAGATTCCAACAACATTCCAGAAGCTAGCTTCGACAACCTCACGAAGTCTACGCGTCGCAGATCTTGTTACCGACTTGCGATTTCTGGTCTATGACTCCACTCTTCCTGGTGATTATTAAATGCATACTTGGTTGTTTTATGACATCTGTTCCGTTGGAGCAACAAATACTTATTCTTCGATGGTAAAAAGGATGGATTTTAATAAAAGATTACATGTTTTTGTTCAGTTTTGTCCAGCATTTTTGCATTCTAGTCCTTCAAAATCTTGTTTGTGTTACTTAAGCTGGACTTCCTGGATCATATTTCATGTCTTGCCATTCATTTGAAGCAACAATAACAGCACTTGGTGTTTGCTTTAAAAACCATTTCATGGTATTTCCTTACCCAGTTTCTTCACATCTAAACTGTGTAATGATGCGCCCTTGTCCTCACTTATCAACCTTTGGAAGGATAAAGTTTCAATTGTTCTTTCATTTTTCTCTTTTTTGCACTGTGTTTCATAATCTTCATGTGCTAATATGTTAAGAATGGTGAGATGAACAAACCAAGAAGCACAGGTTTTCCTACATTCCCAGCAAATGGCATTTCTATGTGGGAACGCTGCGGCAATTTCTCATTTGAACTGTAACTGTACATATGTGGCTGTGGTGTAAAGCAATTTCCATCCGAGATAGAGCTGTCAGTGTGCACAACAGAGCACCGCAGAGAGGGGATTGTGGTGGCAGCTACATCCCTGATGTCACAAACTGCCTGGTAGATGTCCCAACTGTACCACAGTTGCGCCTGTGGCTCCGAAATTGCCTTAAATAAGTCGCGCTGTGCGCATCATTGACTCCGCTATTCACCCTGCACCACTGATCCAAAAAATAGAGCCCTAAAACAGTTTGAAAGATTGCGATGATGCACATTTCCTGTCTCGCTTTCTCACCTTCCGTGCCCTCTGTCGTTCTTTCCTCCCTTCCTTCCGTCCTCAGGGTCTGGTGGGAGAAAAATACGGCAGCATCCGAGTGCCGGGGGAGGTGGAATCAGCAGAGTTTGAGATGATCTTGGATGCAGCTGTGGAGGCGGGGCTGGACACACACATCTTGGAAGAGTGGTACTGCAGGGATGAAAACTCTGTGCCACCCGCATACTACCTCAAACCCAAAGCCCAAATGCTTAAGAACTACCAGAACTCAGTAAGTCCATGTATCGTAAAAGTCTCAGGCAGCTCTTGAACTCTTTTGATGCTTGCAAATGATCCCATAAAAGTCACAAGAATTCTGTCAGCACAGTTAATTTTAAACAAAACTGTTTAACTTCCAAGTTTAATTTTATAGAGGTAATGAAATGTTTGGCTGAGTTTACTTGAAAACTCAATGATAACGTTGCCTTGAGTTTCACTTAAGTCGTAAAAACAGAACGTCTTCAGCTGGCGTAGCACTTTAAGAAAACCACTCACGAATTAATCTTGCCGGTGGAGTTCTAGGTTTTAGCAGTTTGGCCTTTTAAATTAGCATTTCTCACTTGAAACACATGAATATTCCCTTTGTTACCGTACATATCTGACAGCACATGAATATGAATGACAGCATTCCCTGAGTGCTTGATGAGAGTCCTCGGTCTCAACTGAAAAGTCAGACTGTCCTCTCTCTGCCCCCCCTTGGTCCCTCTTAGATGGAGTCAAGCACTGCAGCCAAGACCAAGAATGACAAGGCCTGGAGGAATGTGTCGGAGGAGATCAAGAGGATCTTCCGGACGGCGGTGCTGCAGCTTCAAGAGAAGGGGACCATGAAGGCTGCTGAGGCCAAGAAATTCCTTTGCTCTGGTTGGTTTCAGGTCTACTTTTTATTTCTTTTTCATCTTTTCGGTGTCATATCATTTCAAATATCTCCCATATTGCTGCCTGCAGGACCATCTCTCAGTTCTATCTCTCTGCTTCCCTTTGTTTCACCAATTCACAGCACTAGTTGCTACTAAAATAGATGAAGGGTAATAAAGGGTCAAATGTGAGTGCATCACTTGAATGATTAAAAATGGCATCACATATCAATATTTGTTTTATTTCTAAGTAGCCAGTCAGACCAGTTTAACTTATGAACACTGAAAAGCAAACACTTTAAAAACGCTATACTGACGACCCAAAGTAACAACTCTGCAACAAACTTGAACACAGCTATGATCCCTGAAAGACCACTGATTGCACCTGCATGAATATGGTTAGAAAATGACCCATAAAAACCAGAACTTTTTCAGTTTCGAAACACTAGGTTGTATCTGTCTGCATGTTTTTGCATCATGGCTTCAAATGGCTGAAAAATAGGAAGATCTGTGACCAACTACAAGTCAGTGGAAAAACAAATGTAGCAGCAATCAGGAGGTGTAGAAGAAGCCATAGTACCGCTCATCACAGCCTCTTATAATAAAGCCAAGTTTGTCAAGTTCAGGGCTGCAAGGTGGCTCGGTGGTTAGCACCTTTGACTCGCAGCAAGAAGGTCGCCGGTGTGCATCCCTGTGAGGACACCCGGGATCTTTCTGCGTGGAGTTTGCATGTTCTCCCCGTGCAGCGTGGGTTCTCTCCGGGTTCTCCAGC